CACACACACACACACTTAAGAACTTTATTAAGTGAGCTTTTAAATAATAAGACAGCCAAATCACATCTCAGATGCTAAGAACACGGCATTGGGTCCTCGAGGCTGAGTGACTCAACAGTCAGAATGGTCCCAGAAGAGCTCTCTCTCACTAGGGGGTAATAACCAGCAGTTACTCAGCCCACAAAGCAGGGTGCCTCAGTAGTCCCAGTTTGGTACTGGAAGCCTGGAGAGTCCCTGAGAGCCACTGGTCCCTAGTTCAGGAAAGCTAGGGAAGGCTGATTCTGCTACTGGTGGTGGTGGAGTGAGGAGCGGAAGAAGCAACAGGGGAAATCAGCTTGGCAAGAGGGAAGGCCAAGTCAGAAAGCACCAGGCAAAATGAACTTCTTTCGAAAATGTCCTTTATGATCTGGCTTGCTACCCGAAGGTGATCAGCCTTCCCACAGCAAGTCAGTTCTTCAAGTGAGGTCTTTCCTGAGTTGATTCTGAATTGTGGCAAGTTGACATTAAAACCAACCATTACAAAGGACCTGATTGTTTTGCCTGCGTACTGCAAAGTTGGATGAGGCTAAATTCAAAAGCCAGGGACTAAACTGTAGCGCCTGCACTACAGGATGGTATGCGAGCCGGGAACTAGGATGGAGATTTGAAAACATACGCACACGGGGACACGGGTCACCCTTGAAACAAGAATGCCAACTTTATTGTGCTCCAGGGACGCTAATATTGGAATCCTTAACTGATAGCCACGCCCCAGCTCTTGGGATTTCCAGCTGTAAAACCCACCAGAATTCACTCCCCTGCCATCAGGAACTCATGAGGGTCTCGTGCTCAGAGCAGCTGCAGGCACAGGTAAACAAGTTGTTTGGCTCAGTTCACTCCATCAGGCAAAGGGTCTGAGGCAGGCAGAGAAAGTCAAGGGGCCGGGGGGCTGCAGCCCCCAACACTGGGCCGTTATATTTCAAAACAATATAATACCCAGGCAGTGGCATGGTTATTTCACTTACTTCATTATAGATTTGCTGTGTGAGAGAGTAGAAATGGATTCAGTCTGAGCAGGAAGCAGAGCAGATTATGTGGAAAACGTACCACTCAGGCAAGGAGAGCAAAGTGAACCTGGTTAAAAATCAGGGGCAGGCATGTATTTACCAGGAAGGGAGCCTGAGCCTGGTTAAAGTTAAGGACAAGCTCAGAAGTTATCTACAGGTGACTGCAAGGAGCCCTCAGTAGGGAGCTTTTTTAACAGATGGGTTTAGGGCGCTTTTCTAACAGATGAACAAAAACACATCTATAGATTTAGGGATTATATGGCAGGAAAAGGAATGTTAGATCAACATATATTTCATAATTTAATTGTGCAGCTTATTGTATGTTAACCAGTTCAAATGATACCACAGAGATTAAAAAAAAAAGACTGTCTTTGGGGAAGAGGAATTCATAATTGCAATTCAGGATTAGATTCAGGGATTTAGGTAGCTGTCCATCAGTGTCCCAAGCAAGGTATAACAAGTAGGAGCTTAAATGGGACACTGAAGTCTGAGAAAGAACAGGGGACACAGGACACGGCAGAAAAAGATTATATCAGCAGAGCAGTAATGTCCATACGTCAAGTCTGCTGACAACTCAACCCCCTGGGCACAGTGCAATCCAAGAGTCTGATGTCTGTGGCTGGAATGGAGGGGGCATATTCTAGGCAGCGCCTGGGGCTCTGCATACGCGCTGTTTAATAGCTCCCAGTCAGTCTGAAAAGCCAGCTTTATTTTATTTTTATTTTATTTATTTTATTTACATCTTTCTTCTGAATTTCAGTCAATCCTTTAGTAACAGTTTAAATTAGGGATTGAAATTTATCAAAACTCTCCATATAATCCTTGTTCTGCTACAGGTCCATTTTTATTAACTTTTCTTGTAAAGCCATGGCTTCTCAATACTCATCTCTTGTATTCTGAGCATCAGCATCCACTCTCCCTCGTACTGGAAGCCGCGCTATCATTTCTAATTCCATGTATCTGTATGTTACTGGATCGGTCTTGGCACCAGTGTGGAGAATATCACAAAGGAGAAGCCAGTTGCAAGGTCCCTGGTGACTGTTTTCTGCTCCAGTGAGCACTTGACCCATTTGGTTCACAATAAGCATTTGCTATGATCTTTGCAACGAACATTGGTTACGATGAGGGATGGGGTTTAAAGACTTGTACTGGCCACTGCAGTCAGGCAAAAGCTTTTCAAACTACACAGCCAACTGAGAGATGGAGCTTCGTGGCTGTAAAGAAAATGAGCTGTTATGATATACTGGCACTGCCTGCCAGGCTCAGCTCTGCCTTTGGACTTCCTGGTAATGGGAATCACTATGGCTTCTTTTTGGCCAAGTTACTTTAGGTCAGGTTTTCCTATTTGTACTCAGAAAAGGCCTGACTTTATGTTGAGCGCTCTCTCTCTCTCTCTTTCTGTATGTGTAACTATACTCTCCATATCTTATTCTATTTCCATTTCAGTTTATGGATAAGACTTTTTTATTTTATTTCCAAACAGTTTAGAACTCCTCAAAGATACATATTTATACAAAAATAAAAGAACTGTCTTTGATACCAAGAGGGAAAGATAAAAGAAAAGTTACAGAATCTTTCAATCCTGAAAATGTTCAGAAATTCCTCTATCTGAACTATACATCTTTATTCTACATGGGGAGGGATTGTTCTGTAAGAATCTGAGGCCATTTAAATTTCTCTCTGGAAACTGCATTGTGAGGAAGAGCCGAGTTACTCACTTTATAGTACTGGACATCAAACAGCGCTTTCAACAGTGAAACCATATTTCACTCTGGTCTTGCCAGTCTTTGGGATCTCTGCTGAAAGAATCAGACGAGACACACACAATGCGGTGCAGAAGACAGGCAGAGTTTATTAGAAGGTAAAAAGAGTCATTCTTGACAATGAGGAGGGCAATGGCCAGAGAGGCCACTGCGGGGCGGGGGGTCTTGGGGAACCTCAAGGTGAAAGTGGGCAATGCTCAGAGAGACTATTGTACTGACCTACATTTTTAGGTATGCTTTGTAATACTTGAGTCCCTAGAACTCCTTCCTGGGCCTTTTCTTCCTGGGCCCAGGTGACTGACAGGCTCATCTGAATTAACTCTTAAGGGAAGAGAACAGGGTATCTGTGTTTTTTGTTAGAAACCCTCACCAGATAGTAACCTTGGGATCATTTCAACAGTTCCACTGAGATCTCAGATTCCATTCTTTTGGCTACTAATCAGGGCTCCAGAGTTTGCATTCCTTGTTTTACACGATGATTATAAAAGGGTCCAAGTGCAGTGATCTTTAATTTTATTACTCCTGGACAGTAATCTTACTACTCCTAGATAGTAGTTCTACCACTGAGCAATGCAGAGTTTAGATGTGTAATCCTTCTTCCTCTCTGTCTCTCAAGATGGCCAGCCTTCCTTGCTTCACTCTTTCCTTTCACTATGCTGGGAAACGAATGCAAGAATTTACACACACTAAACTTTAAATTCTGTCAAATTTAAACCGATACGAGGTGTTGCGGTCCATGCCGTTCAGAAGACTGAGGTAAGAAAAGGATGTCTATGAGTTCCAGGCCAGCCTGGGCTACAGTGAGAACTGTCTCAAAAATTGAACTTAGCCACAACAACAAAGTTACACCAGTCAAATACTGGCTAAAACTCTCTCTCTCTCTCTCTCTCTCTCTCTCTCTCTCTCTCTCTCTCATGTTTATGAGTCTATGCGCATATGTGTATGCATGTATGTGGAGGACAAAAGTTGACCATCTGAACCCAGAGTTCAACTGATCTGGCTAGACTGTGTGGCCAGCAAGAATGCACCCGTCTCTGCCTAGCAAGTGTCGGAATTACAGATGCACGGGACTGTGCCCGCTTGTTTCTCTTTTCTTTTTCTGATGTGAGTAACAGGAATGTAGACGTGGGTCTTTATGTTTATGCTACAATCATTTTACTGACACGGCCATCTCCCTAGACCAGAAACTTCTTTAAATTGAATTCAGTCAAGTGTTTGCTCCAGATAGGCAAAACATACATTCATACAAATATTTTCCATCTTATGATCCTTTATCTTTATTTTCCTCCTCTTCAATTAAATTCTTAAGGACATTAATAAAATATGAACTCTAACAATAATGTGAAAATAAAACAAAACAAACTACAATAAATACAAATTGAAAGAAGTTTGGAGAATAATTCTGAACCACAAATATTTATGAAGAAAAAAATTAATGTGTAAATAAACTGTCAGAAAAGTAAGGAGATCTTAGTGAAACAATATATTAAAATCTGTCCTATGTGTCTGTCACTTCAATGGCCCCAATGTATCACAGCTCTGCTGTCTGTCTAGACTTGGCCGTGTGAGTCACACTGTCCATGTTTTTAAGCAATCATGAAAATCTAAGCTTGGCAAACGCTTTCACCCTGGTTTGCTCTTAGAAAGTGTTCTCTTTCATGGTAGGAGGCACAGTTACCCTACTAGAAGACAAGAGACCATCTAGGGCATGAAGACCCAATCCACAGAACCATGAAAAACCATCAACCTTGAGTTGCTTTTTTGAAACAAGGTCTTGATATGTGGCCCAGGCTGGCCTTGAACTGGTAATTCTTCAGCCTTAGCTTCCCGGGTGCTGGAATAAACTCTTAACCCCCTAAATTTTGTGATATTTGGTTACGCAATACTAGAAAATGCTTCTCCAGTGTAATAGAGCAAAGACATAAGCAAATCTATGCTTACTATGAAAATAATTAAGGTTTATGAGCAAACATTATCAAAACTGCTGTACTCTTACAACTCTAGACTCACAACATTTTTTCTGTAGATTTCAGCGTGTTAAAATACTTTATAATACTCAGTGTTTGACTGCTAAGCACACATTCTATATAGTGACTATACCAATCTAAACAATGAGCTAGGTACATGATAAATAGTTTTATTTTTAAACAATGAATTCATAATTTTTCATATAAAAGATGAGATTTAATCATCAGGTTTTAAAAAATAACTATATTTGCCAATATCTTCATTTTTTTACAGAAGCCAATTTCTCTAAATCCATAGCTTCATCTATCACATAACTTTTATAGATTCAAAATCTCTTGAATACATTTCCAAGATCCTTTAAAAATAAAACTTCATAAAAGATGTTTATAGTTAACCCAGTAAAACCTAACAAGTTACAGGACCACTGTCAGCCCTCCAGATACCGCTGGATACTTGATTGCAGCCAAATATTGAAGGATTAATTCTCTGTATTTACTTTTATTAAAAAGAGGTTTTTGGTAGTGAGAACAAATAATCTCTCGTTTGTTGCCTGAAAACCTAAAATAGGATCATTGGTTTCTAGGCTTGCTACTTGCTGCTTAGCAACCTGGCCCACGTGCCTGCCTTCCTTCCTGTTGTACAGCACAGTGGACATGGGAGCAGGCTGCCGATAGATGAACACTCGGCGAAGGCACTCACAGAGGGCTGCGTAGGAGGAGTTTGGAGAACAGGCAAAAAATTTCTTGTCTCTCTTTGATGCTTGGACATAACCTGCCAAAAATATAAGGGAAAAACAAAACTGTTGTGTTAAACTGAAGAGAGACAAGTCAGGATTTAAGGCTTACTATTTCACAGTAACCACCACAAACGTAAATCCTTAAGTCAAACATATACCATAGTCAACAATGAATGAATTCAGCATCATTACTCTAAGCCACAGTTTCTTCTAAAAGTGCAAAAATACAACTTTAATTACTAAGGAATAAAACAGGGCTTCTCTTCAGCAAAGCATAATACAGTTCCATTTAATTTCCATGAGATAAAATAAAAATTTGAAATCTTAAATACCAAAATGCATAAAAATTTAAATGCCTAGCTCAAAAATAAAAAAACCTAAAATGATGTCTTAAAATGAAGAAAACACTAGATGTTGGGAAAGGCTCCCATGTCCTTGGGTTGGCAAAGTAGTGCTGAGAAATGGCTATGTTAGTGAAATTGAAAGTTTAAAAGAGATCCTCATCAAATTATAATGACATTCTTTAAGGAAACAGAGAAACAATTCTAATATTCGTAAGAAAGCACAAAGGACCCTAAATAGACAAATGCTACGCAGAAAATAATGGCTAGAGGTTACGACAATACTTATTGATCTACAGAGTCACAAGACAAAAGCAGCATAATACAGACACAACAACAGACACACAGACAAACGGAATGATATAAATAAATACACACAGCCAAGGCGACTGCACAGCTGACAAGAGGTGCCGCTAACAAGCATTAGCATCCTTGGTAACAAGGAATACTGGGAAATGGTATCCACATGGAAAAGAAGGAGACTAGTCTCAGTTTGAAGAATCAACTCAAAGTGGACCAAAAACTTTAAGACCTGTAATTCTGAAACTAATAACAAAAACATGTAAATAACGATTAATAAAAAAGGAAGGTATTTCAGGGAAAAACCACAAACAACAGTTCCAGAAATAAAACCAAAAGATGCCATTGGGTCACATGGGATTAAAGAAGTAATGCGCAGCAAGGGGACAACTAATTGTGAGAGAGTATCCAAGCTACCTATACACTGGAGAGATGACCTGTATCCAGAATATACAAAGAGGTCACAAACTACCCCAACCTCAAACAATTCAGTGTGTAAATGGGTGACGAAATGAACCAGCAGTTCTCAAAAGTTGAAGCACAAATGTCCAGTAGACATACAAGGAATGTTTAATATCTTTATTGTGAAAATTCAAATTAGGTCTCCACTGAGATTCTACTGGAGAGTAGGCAGAATGGCTGTTGCTAAGAGAACAAAGGACAATAATGTCGAGGAGAATGTGGGCATGGAAGAGCTGACGGGAGTCTATGCTGGTGCAGACTATGGAAGTCAGTACAGCCTGAACAACAGAACTACCATATGGTCCAGTTATAGGGTCATCTAATGGAAGAAACCAGTTAGCAGTCAGGGATGCTCGTACACCCATGTTTATTACTACACTATTCACCGAAGTGAAGATACAGAATTAGCTTAGATACCCAACAGATGAATGCATAAAGAAAATGTGATACACAAACTCACAAAATACGGTGTTTTATTCACCAGTAAAGACAAAATTATGTCATCTACAAGGGAACAGATGTGAATGGACATTACCATGCTAGATGGAATCAGCCAGACACAAGAAGACAAACACTCCAGGCTTCTTTCACACACCAACTCTAGATTTAAGCACACACGCACACGCATGCACGACGCGCGTGCGCGCGCACACACACACACACACACACACACACACATACACATACACAAATACATGCAAACACAGTGAGGGATAAAAAGGTAGATCAGACAGAGAACAACATAGGGAGGGGAAGGGTTCTAAAGGAAGTGGAAAGTGAAGAAGGAAGGAAAAGGGAAGAGACAAAATATCAGTTTTTCTCAGATGCAAACTAGATTTACATGTAAACATATATTTACATTCTTTACATGGGTTACATATACACATGAAGTGAGTAAGCAATGAGACACGGCAGGTCAATACTGCTTTAAAACATGACGTAGGATGCGAAGAAGGAAAAGGGAAGATACAGGGATCTATTTGAGTAGATGAACATAAACTGTACAGGCAACTTTGATAGTAACGTGCGTAAGAACTCAAGAGTCCTATCTAATATAAAATTGACTTAACTTAGGATCAAGCACAGCAGAAATCATTTGAAGAGGATGTTGCCATGCAATGAAGACTCTAAGCATCTAAAAGAGACCTGGAAGAACTTTCCTCTTCCTGAAGGAAGAAGATAGTTTCCAAATAGGAATTACAGTAGAGGCCAGAAATTGTATGGTTATTAGTCCATCAAACATCCTACTATTCCAAGACATACAAATCCACTTAGAGTCCAAGTGAAGCCATTTAGTCATATGTGCTAGGTGACAAATTCCTCATCAATTAAAGTTCTACAAACAAACCCACAATTTTACATTTATGCTGCCAGTTTAAAATAAGCATCTAATAAAGTATTAATTGTAGCTAATTCAAATAACAGACCTCCCACATAATATGGGTATATTTCAACATAAAAACCAATTAAAGTGTAGTCTGTAGTTACTGCTTCCTCTTGTTTTCACTGTGGTTTGGATTTTGAGTCAGACTTTTGCCGAATAACTGGCTGGCATCACACTCCTGCTTCATCCATTCAGGTGGTGGGAATGTAGGTATGTGCCACCAGGCCTGGCTTCTTTTGCACTTAAGTTCAATGATTTATGTCTTCTCATTAAAAATGTACATCCCTGTACAGCAGCTGTATAATGTTTTAGAAAACTACTCTGAAGAGACTTAAACAAGTTACGGCAATGTCAAAGCCCCTGATGATAATGTATTTTAAGTCAGTATTTAATTCACCTCATTAGCAAGATTCAAATGGTTATATTGCCACTTCCACGTCCATTCTGTGTTATCTTCCGAGCAACTGTAATAACAGGTTCATCTTTGTATTTTAGCACTTTAACCCCGGTCAACAGAACACAGACACCCAAATCATAGCATCAACCAATTAACCAGCAGGCCTGGCTCAAATGAGACAGAACAGCTTTCACTGAGATGCCAACTACTCGGGCGGGCTGGAAACACCCCTGAGGAGCAGGCTTCCTACCTAGGGCATTGAAGGTGGCAATGTGCTCCCACATGTCATCCTGCCTGCTGCAGTGCGGCTGCCAGAGGAGGGCATCGACATCATGGCGCAGACAGAAGCAGGGCATTTCTTTAGGGTCCACAGTGACTGAGAACAGATACTGGTTGCTGCCAAGATTCACCTAAAGGAATGTAAATCAATGTATTTAAAAGTTAGTAATAGTGATGAAAACAGACATAACATCAGCAACTGTTTTGAAACCAACTTTTCCTCCTCCATTCTTCCTAAGATAAGGTCTAAGCCTGCAGCTCAGGCTGCCTTGTACTTGGCAGTCCTGTCCCAGCTTAGGATTTCACGCGTGTAACAGCCACCGAGCTTTGCTTGCGATCAACTCTGAGGACCTAGTTTCTGGACTGATTCTTCATAGAGTTCTGGAAAGGAATGTGTCTCTGTCACACTCATTTTAAAGCTGAGGGAAGCAATGATGTGGGACACTTAATTTGTGCAAGGTCAGGACGCTTTGAACCTACGGACATGAAATTTGGACCCAGACTCTCTGTTCTTAACCATTATGCTATCTGAAGTGACCTTAGCCCACTAGAACATGTGGCTCTGGCAGGCCTTGCCCCTCTCCCATTTCCTCTGCCTTACTAAACTTCATTAGATCACATTCCTGAAGCTAGCCCCCAAAGTCTAGTCCCTTACTTGTCCACTTCCTCCTCCTGAGGATGACCACCAAGGCCCAGATACCAAAGTATAGAAGTCCAGCAATCAAAACCCCCTTTGGCTCACCCACTTACCATGCCCAATTAAAATTAAACACCCCATGCTAATGCAGGCTTCCCCCTTCACCTTTAGAAACAGCCATTCTCCTATGGGCCACATCTGTCTCCTCTCTATTCCGAGGCAGTCTTTGTCCCATAGGGACAAACACTCCTTCCCCTTCTCCCTCATCCTCTATTTCCTGTCTTTGTCTCTTATTCCCTGCCCTCTGTCCCTTTGGGCCAAAGAAATCTTTGTGCCGGGAACTTGGTCTTGGGGTGTCCTTTCACCCCAATGTCCTTTTACCCCTCAATGTCAACAGTTTAACATAAGACAGGAAGTACCAACTGAAAAACAAGAATAGTGCTAAATCACAGAAAACAAACATTAAACTGGCTAGTGTTAACTTGTAAACAATACCAAGAATAACTAACCGCTACTACAACGTATGAGCATAATCTATATGCCAGCCATGTTCTAAGTACTAATGCTCATAGCTCAAGAGGCTGTTGTTATCTTCATGCAATAGTTGAAAATAGTGCCTTGAGATTTTGCTTCTACGCTACAAGGAAAAAAAAATCACATCAGACAAGGCCTCAGATCTACTTATCAATTGCTCAACTGTGCTCTTCTACCAATAATATTATGAGCAGCTGTTACTGAAACACTGATACTTGAGGAACTCACTCCACTACAAAAACATCATTTGAGACTCACAGCCGGATCCCACTCACAGGGAAATTTCCTTAACAGATCCAGGTTGCAGCCACATTCCTCACCAACCATCTTATTATTGGGGGTTTAAATATCAACAGAAATAATATCAAATGTAGATAGTAAGGTTAGGGTCAGGGCTGAGAGACCCAGTGTATGATATATGCTGACGTGAGTCCATAAACTCTACAGTCCAATGAAGAACGAGATGTTGGTTAGGATGCTGAGGCCTGACTCGCACTGAGTAAGGAAAGCTGCGAAGGCTGTAGCGTGAGGATTCCATGGTTCACCAGGGCAACCTAGGCTCCGAGTCCAACAGCAAACAAAGCTGCCCCGCTCATGAGAACAACACCGGGAGCAGGGCACTTAGAGTCCCAGAGCTCACTCTGCAGCAAGGAAATGGCTGCTGTGCTCTTGCCGCTGTTTATCTCTTCCTTCCCTTTGCTCTGGACTGTCAGTGGCTAAGGGAGACTTAGTTTCAAAATACCACTAGCAAACGGGCCTGTTACAAAAGCCCTGGAGGACCCAGCACTGCCTCAGCTCTTTCCTCACATCCCTCACTTTCCTTTTGGTTACTGAGTGGTGTGGGAGAATTATCTGTATTCTATCAATCACGTATTTTAATAAAACGCTGATTGGCCAGGCAGGAAGTATAGGTGGGTCAACCAGACAGGAAGTAGAGGCGGGTCAATGAGAACAGGAGAAGGCTAGGAAGGAGGAAGTCCATTCCTCCATTCGTGCCCAGACCACCGAAGAAGTAACATGTGAGCTGACAGCTGAAAAAGGTACCAAGCCATATGGCTAACGTAGATAAGGATAATGGGGTAATGTAAGTTATAAGAGCTAATAAGTAGCCTGACCTAATGGGCCAATCAGTTTATAATCTTATGGAGTCCTGTGTGTGATTTTCTTGGGGACCTGCCGGATGTGGAGTACCGGGCGGGACAGAAACCCCAACAAGCTGGCTCCTCATGCTACAACTGAGGGCTTTCCCAGAAGGACAAACCTAGCTGAGGTATGGGTAGGCTACAGTAGAATTTGCATATAATGTGTTTACTGTGAAGTGAGCATTACCATTCCGAAGGGCAGAACTAACTCATCGCTGAGCCTCCTACACAAATCAAACCCCAACTGAAAGCTTAACTAAGAGGGATCAACCATGCAAACATTAGTTCCTCTTCTTCCGTTTACTTTACCCAAACTTGTGCTACACAGTATATCAAAGCGCTACTCATCACAAGGCCAGGAATTCCAGTCTGCCTTCACTGACTCCTCTCGTCCTCTTACACATCCTTCTTATCCCTAATACACAGTCCTGGAATACTGATCACATCTGATGTCTAATAAATCATAACTGTCATCAAATTGGACCAAAGTATTCTAATAGAAAACATAAACGTAGTGAATGAATTACACAAATGAATTCTATGCCGAAATTTGTAACTGGCTGTTCTAAAGTGAAGGAGAAAGCGACACTGAACCTGAATGTAGTGCTGCATGGGGTGAGCTGGAGGTTACGACCGAAAGCTGCTGGAAAGCGCATCACTCGAACAAACAGTGCAGTCTGAGCATCAGCTTCACAGCGAGATGATGTTATCAATATTAGATTTCCTTAATGGTATCGTAGCTACACTAAAGGAATGCCTCCATCTTTAGTGCCTACATCAAGTAGGCAAAGGGACAATAAATGCAGTTCATTCTTAAACTCTACAGCCAGAAGAAGAAAGGAAGAACAGAGAAAAAAATAGTGGTGGCAAAACCTTGGCAACTGCTAAGATTTGAGCTATGGACTGAATTGCAGCTCCCTCCCCCATACATGACGTACCAAACCCTGGCATTGCAGAATGTGCCTATGCGATGTATCACATCCAGTACCTTTCAACCAAACTATTTTTGCAAAACACATATTTCATTCAATTTTTATCTGCCAACTTTCTATTTATTATCCACAGCTTTTTAGAATTCCTATTATCAAGAACTTACCACATGGGTTGTTTTTAATGTATTGCCATCAAATCTGCATAAACTGGAACTCTCTTCAAAGAAAATATCACATTCTTCTAATTCCTGAGCATTACATGGAGGTTTTTCTTTATCTGGATTTGGATTCTTAAGACAAAAAAAATAATAATAATAAATTAAATAAATAAAAAGCAAGTAATAATCAGACAATAAAAATAATTTATTCATCCTGAAAAAAGATGTCAAAATGACAGCTGTGGTCATTTGGACATAGTGTCTCAAGCCTATGAATCAGGACTCAAATGCTGAAGACAGAAGGACCAAATATCATGACTTCAAAGCCAGCCTGGGTACACAGAGAGACTGGTTCAGGCTGCACCTGCATCCTGTACAAAGAAACTAAAACCAATCAACCAACCAACTAGCCAGCCAGCCAGCAACAACAAAAACACTTAGCTACTGTAAATATATTTTATATTCTCAAAGATGAAAAGAAAACTGGGTATGCTGAGATATGGAAGATAGAAAAAAAGGACCTAGTGAATTTTTTCCATATGAAAATGCAAAGTGAGAATAGAAAACCAAACATGATATAGGTAATTAGCCAACGCATGAAGTATAAAGACAGAAAACTAAACACCACTGCACATCAGAAATCACGGTATGTTTAAAAACATCAGAGTACAGCAAGTCACAATAATAAGACTGCTGAAAAGCAGTGATAAAGAGAAACACTAACAGCAGTCATGGCTGAATAAAGATTCAAATATCTGACTTCTCACAAAAGCTGTGTCAGCCTTTCTACAAGGAACAATAGCTGTGCTACCACTGAATTATAGTCCTAACAAAGGCAACTGAAAGAAGCTAAGCAAGAACAGTAAGTCTACCAACAAAAGCCGAGAGAATTAATCACCAGAATATATACACCACCGCAAGCAACACTGAGGGGAAATTCTTCAAGGAGGGAAAAACGTAAGTGATGGCTGTGTCAACACAAATGGAAACCAGAGGAAATGACCACGTAGGTGAATGACTTGTCTCCTTTCACGTTTGCTCTTCTTCAAAAATCTGACTAAGGCTAAAAATACTGTATTATGAGGGATCGGAGACAGAAACAAAATATGACAATAATACAAATGATAAGGGAATGGATATATTATATAATTTTTAAGTTGTACATAAAGTAATACTTTCTAAAAGACAAATGTCAGAGATAGCCATATAACATGACATATACACAAATATTCACCCAAAAAAGTGTATTACATTAAATGATTATTTTATAAATTAATTATCTAAACTACCTTCAAAGCAGAAAAATAACTAACTAAAGGAGAGAGATAAACGTAGCAATTAAGAGAGTAAAAAGTTTAAAGTCAACAGAAAGTGATATTTAAGATAACACTCTATGTATTAAATTGAATCGTTAAAAACACCAAAAATGGGAACTCAAAGCTCAGATGGCTAAGACACAACAGCAACAATACATAATCTCTTCCGTAATGGAGGATGAATTCCCTAATCACTTTATGATATAAGCTTTACCTAGGTATCAACAGTGGGTAGATAACTTCCAAAAACTGAAAAAGAGAGCAGTTTACAATCTACCATTTCCCTAGCTTACTGATGTTAGATGTACATGACAATACTGTATGTCTCTATTTTTCATAAAACATAAAACACTGTTTGGGGCATAAGTAACTTCTCTCATAAATATCAATGCTTCTTTGAAACCATGAAGTTTAAAAAGCCCTCAGCTTATCTACAATATCGTCTAATGTGACCATTACTATACTCTCAACAAAGCTGCTCATAATAAAATCTGCTGATCAAATGAGTCTAAGAAATGGGACTTTGTAAAAAGAGCTAGGAAATCATACTTCGTGGTCTGGTACAAGAATTCCAATATTCTTGAAATTGTTAATGACTGTTGGCAAAGATGAAACTCGTGTTCTCTATTTGGGCCAGATTTCTCTTTGATAAAGACATTCACTTTCAATATTTTAATCTCTCTTTTCTAGTCTAGGATGCACCTAATGCTACAGGGTACATAATTTTTCAGAATATTCTTTATAGCTATAATTCAACATGGCAATAAGTCAGACATGCCAATCGCACTTTTACATAGATAATATCTTTTACATAGATAATAGATAATAATATCTATTACATTGGTAATAGATATTACCCATGTTCTAAAGTATTGGTAAATGTTTTCAGATTTTCAATAGTTATTGCAAGTTATTAAGCTGGTAATATTTTCTACTCCTTAGCTGAATCAGCATTGTCAGGTCGTTGTAATCAAGAAATATTTCATCCATTAAAACAATTACTGAGCTAGAAGATGGTGAAGTAGGAACGAAGAGCAATCTTCCCCACAAATCTTAACTCAAGACTGGACTTGAGAAAGAAGGAGGAGGCACAGAAAGGCAAAGGACAGCAATAAGCACAGACCCAAAACAGATAAAGATAAGAACACTGACTGCTAGACTTCTAAAGGAGCAAAGCTCTACCTCCATGAGACAGCAAAGGGAGTGCAGAGACTCGGTGACACTAACAGAGAGACATGGCTACTGTTGTTTCTACTTTATTTTTATCTCACTTTATTCTTTTTTAAATCAGGTTTTATATTGGTTAGGCTTTGACTATTCTGTTCACCAATGTATGCTCGTGATGGTGTGGGGAGAGAGGGACTTACACACTTGCTGAGAGTGCAATGCGGTACAGCTCACACCCACGGCAGCTTTGCTTTTAGTTTTGTGAGGAAACTCCACAGTAATTTCTACACTGCTTACGTATGCAGTGCAGAGACATCTGTACACTTATGTTTATTATATAGCTATTTACAATAGTTTATTATACAATCAGTCTCGGTTATTGGCATAGAGATGGCACAACTGTAATTTCTGCTTCTGTCAACATTGGTTGATTCTTTTAAGGAATCTCAAGATACAGCTACACACATACACCATGTAAAATATGCCTTCACATTTCTGTTTATATATTCATAGTAAAACACATAACTATTAGAATTTCAATCCATATTAAAACATTAATGAGGTTGCTAATCACTTATTGGCGGTATTTACATAAAAAAAGGCACACTAAGGTTTGACATGGCAAACCTTCATATAAGACACTCCTGGATTCTGGACGGTGTCTTACACTACTGTGCTGTGCTTACCAGTTCGTCGGAGGTCAGGTGCATCAACCGTTCTGCTATTGCAGCACACTGGGCTGGGTCCCTTAGAAGTTCCCCCTGTTTATCACCAACAACCAGCTCTGGCCACACTAGACCTTCATTCTTCTTAATCAAAGTAATCTCCAAGCTAAAAGATTAAACAAGAAACATGATGTTACATTAAATATTATTCATTTAAACTGGTGTGGCATTTCATTACAGTATCCCAGCACTTAGTAGACTCAAACAACAAAAAATCAAGAGTTCATGGCCACTTGAGGCTAAGGCACATACCAAAATTAGAGAGAGAGGCAAAAGAGTGAAGGGGGAGACTAGAAAGAAAGGAGGAGGAGAGCGAGATAAAATTACCTATCTAGTATCTAGAGAGTATTTTGACAAAAATCTTACTCACTTTGACTTTTATCTATAATCCAATGATAAATAACCTAAACTTCATAACTAAACATAAATGTGCCACTAGAAATGGAGCTCCACATGGCTTGAAGACAGAACTGGAGTGACTGAGAAAGCAGAAAATGGAATACAGGTATGTAGTGTGCTACTAAATCCAAGTAATAAAAGTCCGAGCAGCATGGATCTATGGGACACAGCAGAGAGATGTGCAGTGCAGCACACACAACAACCACTGACCTACAACTAACCTCTTACTATACAGACCCCACAATCTACTATCAGAGACTAATAGCCTTAACATGTAATTCTAATCAAAGACAGGGCAAGTTAAATTAATGTCAACGTTAATTTTTAAAACATGAACTTTTAAAGAACTGAAAACAAATGTAGAAATTAAAAAGAAACTTTGTAACACAGGAAGAAATGTTAGTACAGTCTACATAGCTTGTTTTCTATCTGATTCGACACATTTAAGTCGCTAAACAGAAACTCCAATTGCACGAGGCAGGCCGCGCCACAGACCTGGCGATCAGAAACTTATGCTGCAGGAAAAGGAAGCACTGAGTCAGGGCAGACCAGGGGCAGAGGAGGAGGCAGCCACCTGTGTCCTTTGGACAGGAGGGGCAACTCAGGTGGCAGGTCTTGCGTTGCCTCCACAGTAAAGAAGCTTTTCCATGCGCCATCTCTGATAAATGTGCAGCACACTAACTCACATCCTGGAACACAGCCTCAAGCACACAAAGCCAACAACACAATATAACCTATTATTGTAATTATCAAAGTAAACATGCAAACTATTCTTTAGCAAGGCTGTTAGCATGAATTCATAAAACAAAGCACTAAATTTTTTTGCAACTATTTAAGAGACTATACAAAATAATATCACTTACATAATAAAAGTTCTTATCATTAACACTGAAAATTACCATCACAATCAATAATGCCCAGTCGCAGTTATATTCTCTAAGGAATTCGCCAGTCTGATGAGAATGGTAACAAAAGCAGCAACACTGGCTCACACTTACCTAATGCTTTACCGTGTGAGAGGGAACACCTCGGGCACTTCATGTTTCCCCTCATCTAATGCGTCACACAACCAAATAAAGTTCTGTCTTTATGTCCATGTTCCAAATAGGAATGGAAAACACCTAAGAGGTTAAGCAACTTCAAACTGGCAAGCTAGGAAAGCACTGCACTGAGCAGTGTGTTCAAGCTACCAACTGTACTGGCTGATTTTTAATTGTCAATTCTAAATGCTATCAAGACTCTTGCATCACATATAAACACAGCCAAACAGATGTGGAAACATACTGTCCTTTCAAAACAACTTCAAAGATAACATTTTTTCATATATTATAAAAACCAAAAAGCAGTACATTTGTGCATGCTAAGAAATCCCTCTACCAACAGAAATACAGTCTAAGCCCCTTGGCTATCTTAGGAATTTGTAGGGCTTTTATGCATTGAAAATGTAAGTGTTTTATATAAGTATTTTCTTAACTATTCATGTCTTGCTTTTAAAAAACATTATTAGATGAGCATAAAATTTCAGAATTTAAAAACTAATTTTGGTTTCTAGAGATAGGGTTTCATATAACCCAGACTGCCCTCAGGCTCAAAGTATAGCTGAAGATGACCTTGAATTACTGATTCTCAGCCTTCTAAGTACTGGGGTATAAGGATACACCACCACAGTTGACTTAACTTTTTAATTCTAAAGAACAGAAACATTTTAGACCACGTCCAATTACCTTTCTTTTATGGTTTAATTTTTTTGTGTGTCCTCAACACAGAACACATAAAAGAAATGTAAATGATGAATTTTACCAAAGTAAAATGTTTCTCAAAATTAATTCTTCAAAGACAGAAATTTATCTTTCATATATACTCTACATATGCAAAGTAACAGATAATTATTAACTGTAGCTGGTGTGGGAGAATTGTCTGTATTCTGTCAATCATATTTTAATAAAACGCTGATTGGCCAGGCAGGCAGTATAGGCGGGAAAGCCAGACAGGAAGTAGATGTGATGCAATGAGAACAGGAGAATTCTGGGAAGCAGGAAGCTCCTTCCGTCACTCCTGCGCAGATAACCAAGGAAGCAGCATGTAACTTGCCCAGCTGAGAAAGGTATGGAGCCATGTGGCTACCGTATATAATAATAATGGGTTAATATAAGTTACAAGGGTTAACAAGATGCCTGAGCTAATGGGCCAATCAGCTTTATAACTTATAGAGATCTCTGTGTGGTTAATTCTCTGAAACTTGCCGGTTGTGGGGTACTGGGCGGGACAGATACCCCAACAAGCCGGCCCTTATGTTACATGTAGCAAAAGACTGGAAATATTCTAAATGTTCAACAACAGAAAACTGTTTAAACGACCTACCTAACAGACTTAACTTTACAAAGACATAATAAAGTACTGAAAATAATCATCCTTAATGGAAAAATATATAAAATTTACTGTTTGCAAATGCAAAAAACCAACACGCATAGCTATATGTATGTATGCATATATGTATGTTGTAAATTATTATTGTAAGGTGTGTTACTTTTGTTTATGTTTCCTTTGTTTAACTCTATGACGCTGTGATTCTTTAAACACCTGAGAGTCTAGTGCAGAGCTATAGTGAGGCAGGAGAAAGGACAGGCAGGGCTGAGAGACAGAGTACAAACAGAAGGAGAAAGCTGGAAGAAGCCAGAGAACAAGGATGGAGGACATAGGGGCCGCCACCCAGCAACCCAGTCAGCCAGCCATAGAGTATGGCGAAATAATATATATAGGAGTAAGAAAAGGAAAAAGCCCAGGGGCAAAGGTACGTGGAATAATTTAAGGAAAGCTGGTTAGAAATAAACCAAGCTAAGGCTGGGCATGGTAGGCAGAGGCTGCTAGTTTGTTCCTGGCCACCCAGACCTGAAATAATCACACAGAAACTATATTAATTACAATATTGTTTGGCCAATAGCTTAACTGTATTCCTAGTTAGCTCTTACACCTTAATTCTATTATTTTATTTTACCACAAGGGTGGTGGTTTACTGCTAAGGTTCTGGCTGGCGGCTCACGTCTTTCTCCTTCAGCACCTACATGGCATGTCTCTGACTCCCCTACTCTCTCTACATCTCTGTTCAGATTTTCTACCTGGCTTTACTTTGTTAAGTCACTGGCTGAAAGCAGCTTCTTTATTAACCAATGGTAATAAAATACATTAACAGCACACAGAGGGAAGTCCCACATCAGGGCATTATAAGAAAAAATAAGCCTCCGTATGTGGATTTATTTGGGAGTTGGCTGGTGCATCCTCCTGATGCAGGAGAATTGTCTATATTCTGTCAATCATATTTTAATAAAACGCTGATTGGCCAGGCAGGCAGTATAGGCGGGAAAACCAGACAGGAAGTAGAGGTGATGCAATGAGAACAGGAGAATTCTGGGAAGCAGGGAGGTTCCTCTGCCACTCCTGCGCAGACCACCAGAGAAGCAACATGTAACCTGCCCAGCTGAAAAAGGTACCAAGCCATATGGCTAACATAGATCAGAATAATGGGTTAAGATAAGTCATAAGAACTAATAAGTAGCCTGACCTAATGAGCCAATCAGTTTATAATCTTATGGAGTCCTGTGTGTGATTTTCTTTGAGGTTTGCCGGCTGTAGGGTACCAGGCGGGACAGAAACCCCAACAAGCCGGCCCTCATGTTACATCCTCCCAAAGAGCAAAACCAACCAACATATATACATATATATGTATATATGCGTATATAGAGTATATAGCAGAGAATATTTTTCCTTAAAAACAAAGTAAAGCACTTAGTACAATAACAGAAAAGGCTTCTAGAAGGAAATTAGTAACAACAGCCGGAAGGGAAGATGCACGGATGACTGGCAGGACTGGTTAGGGAATGTCTCACTCTGTAACCTTTTATACACTTCACATAAATTTTAAAGAATGGGATTATATTATTTCCTAAGTAAATTAAACTTTAAATTACCTCATTACAAAGCTTTAAGATACAAATTAAAATAAATAGCTTCAACTTTTAGTGTCAGTGTACCTGCAGCTGGTGATGGAAAAGCACAGACGCACAGGAGCATCTCTGCTCTTAACTACAACAACTTTCTGATGTAGTTCCAGCATTTTTAATCTATCTAAAAAGTCACCAACGGAGATGGAACTATTACATTCATCTTTAACATAACTACAGTAGAGAGAAAATATTAAAAAGTAAAATCATAAAAATTAAAATTTCAAATGCAAAACTACAAAAATACCTGTCATTCTCTTTAATTGTCCATGCACTGCTTTCATGATCAATAGCTGAATAGAGCTTTCCTTCCAAAACCTGGTCATCCTTCAGCATAACGCTGATGCTATCAGGCAAAAACCGTATTTCAATATCTTCCTTCACACAGTTTTCTGGAAGCCTTACTGTTACTGTCAGATCATCGTCTGTTTGCTGCCAGTAATACAGAGGTTCTACTGGGAAGAAGAAAATGCATTACATAATAAAAATTAGATGTAACACACAAAATCGAAGATAAAACCTATTCAGCCAATCACTGTATTTCTTAGTGAGTATTCTCTCACACATACACAAATTGTAAGCACACAGACTTCAAGGAATTTGACACAAAGAGTTGTAACAAATGCACAGGATACTTTCCTCTTCCAGGCTCACCAATACACTAAGAGATAGCACTCATAAGTACTACTGACAGCAACCCCTTACCTTGTTACTTCCCTTTCTGCCTCTCTTTACCTCTCCCCTTCTTCTCCCTCTTATTTACAGCACACACACATACACACACACACACAAACACACACACACACACACACACACACACGCACATGCAAACATACACACCAGTCTCCCTGAAATGTGAACGTATCAGTTACTCAATCTAATCACATAATGGATAACTTCTGACAATAAGGCTAAGAAAAACCTGTAAAATTACATGTTTTAGTGAAAACAGACTAAAGAAAATTCAGAATTTCTTAATTCCCTTATAGGGAGTATTTACATTTCCTGGGTTTTCTTATGGTGAAGGTGCACTAAGCTGTCTCAGACCTTTTTGACTATGGGTGCCTGGAGGTGTCATCCTGTGCCTTTAGAGATTATGTATGTTTTTTACAAGAAAATATAACTATCTGTCTTATTATGATAATACTAAATAGTCCATAAATATCATTTTCATGAGGTTTACAGAGAATGAAAACTAGTTTCTATTCTCAGAAGTGCTAAGAATACTAACCAATCAAACATATATAAGTTAAAATATTCTCTTTTCCTTTGTTATTGTGAAAATATCACAAACAATAATTGATAAATTGCAAGGGAATATAAGATATAACACAAAGCATCGACAAGAAAACCAGTAGTTGGACATAAACGCACAGTGTGCTCTCTGCTGGGACTGGTTTGCCGTGGTCGCGCGCGGCATGGAGGCAGAGACCTTCACACCTGCTCAGTGAGTGAGTTCTAAGGGCACGAGGTTCGCTTTAAGAACACTGACTCGGTAAAGACTTTAGTACATGTAGCAATGAAATAAGGTTACTGCATTTATTGGGAAGAAGTCCACGTCTAACAAAAACTGTGCGTGAGGAAACAAAGTGAGGAAAGAAGAGAAGAAAGGCCCTAGAGGCGCAACTCTTTCTGTGTCCAGAGGCTGATATAGTCATAAATTTGGGGACATATTCTTAACATTAATTACATCAGTATATTTAAATATGCTATAAAGGATTAATCTTTTTTAAAAAGTACTCAAATATACTGAGGCCAATTTTATTTTAAAGCTTTCTTTATTTCTACGTAACACGTATGAGTGCTGACATGTATGTACTGGAGATAAGGATGGCTGGGAGCCGCCATGCGGGTGGCAGGTATCACACCCAGTCAGCAAGATCGCAAGTGCTCTATCTTCTGGGTCATCTCTTCAGTCCCTGATTTTTATTCCAAATCATTTAGTCATTTCAGAATAAAAGACAGATGCAAAGAATATGTAATTATCAAATACTATATAATTTTGTTAAATATACTATTCTGGGATATGCACAACAATGCCTTTATTATAAATACAAGTTTCTTCCAGAGGCCCTTGCTGACCTTTTCATTCCAAGGCGTGACCTCGTGACCTCTATCCACTTACCGTCGAGGAACTGCCATTTTATATGAAGGTAAGAATATGGATATTAGACCTTATTTTAGAAGAGCATTACCATACAGCCTTATCCATTGTTAACATAAACATTATTTATTTAATTATTTATTATCTATTAAGTATTATTTATTAAGTATTAAACAGGGAATCAAGTAAGCCAACTGCAATTTCTAAAACACCAGATTATTACAAAATTACGAAGGTAAACCAGTTCACATCATTCAGAGAGAATCTTCAAAAAAATGGGGGCATAAAATAAAATTAGGAGAAAGCAATCTACTGTGCCCTAGTGGGACTCATAACAAAGCAGACATACATGTATATGTACATAAGTACACATGAGCGCCCTGGCAAGTTAAATTACCTTTGATCTTCTCTGACCTGTCTTCATCCATACTTTCTTCAAGATCCTGATCAACCGAAGTAACCTTGAAGGACTTATAGGACACAATCATTAGACCATTTCCGTCAGGCTCAATGGCAGCGTAATGTGGCACAGACTTTCCACGGAGAACATGATGCTTCGTAATTTCATACTTTTCACTGTCTGTAGGAAAGTAAGTATTATGAAAGCTACAATTTAAAAAATCTTTTCTAGGAATAGAAAATTGACAACTTATGGCCACCAAGGCAGCTAGCTCAGTGAGTAAGGACTCTTGCCACCAAGCCTGATACAAGAGTCTGATCTGCAAGACCCACATGGAAGAGAGAACTGACTCCCATAATTGTCCTCTGGCCTCCACATTCTCTCTCTCTCTCTCTCTCTCTCTCTCTCTCTCTCACACACACACACACATACACACCACACACATACATACACACACAAAAAAAAATCACACACACATACTCCTGACAACTTTATCTACATCAATAAATCCCTACTTTAATACACTGGTTTGATGAAATTTGTTCTAAATTTGTCCAGTACAGCAGCCACTTGCTGCAAATGGCAGCTTAATTAAAGAAGTAAATTTTAAAATGCACTACCTCAGTTACTTCTCCACATTTCCAGTGCTCAATAGTCACACATGCCTGGTGTCTAATCCCAGTGAATGGCACATACATAAAGCACATCCAACCTGCACAATTTCGTCTGGAGAACAAAGTCTAGACCTTCAAAGGGACTAACTACTTTCCCAGCAGGTATGTAATAGGCACCTTTTGAAAAGAGACACTAGCTGAGAGCAAGGGGGAATGTTAATGATAAAGGCTTCTAAAAATAAAACATTTACAGAGTAATTGATTCTTATATATCGATAGAACTATACAATTATTATAATTAATAGTGAAATAACAACTTAAAACCTTTACAATAAATACCAATTTAAATGAATTTTAAAGTTAATGAACTTATTCTCTAATGAAGACGGATTGTTTTCTAAATACATGCAACACTTCAGATAAAAAAACTACTCTCTACCAAGAACCCTCAGGCAACACGGTTGGCTGGGACCCTGAACACTGCATTGCTCAGCTTACGTCAGAGAATTAAGAGAGACCCACAACTGGATACTGTGCAGACAGAGGGAGATCTTAGAGAACTCAGCCCTAAATGGGATGTCTGTATCATACTCCTCTCGTGGCTCAGGGATTTTCATAGGGTTTCTATTGCTGTGAAGGGGCATCATGACCATGGCAATTCTTACAAAGAAAACATTTAACTGGGTGAATTACAGTTCAAAGGATTAGTCCGTTACATCATGGTGGAACACAGCAATGTGCAGATGGACGTGATGATGGAGAAGGAGTCCTCCCTCTTAATCAGAATGCCATAGGAAGTGAACTGAGACAATGATCGTGGCTTAAACATATATGAGATATATGAACATATATGAGACATCAAAGTCCAACCCCACAGTGACATTTTTGCTCCAAGGCCATAGTTCCTAGTAGTGCTGCTCCCTATGAGCTTATGGGAACCAATTACATTCAAGCTACCAGATTCCATTCCCTGGTCTCCATAAGTTTGCAACAATATCATAATTCAAAATGCATTTAGTCCAAATTCAAAAGTGCCCATTGTCTATTACAATATTAACAATATTTTAAAGTCTAAAGTTCAAAGTCTCTTTCGAGATTCATATAATCTCTCAACTGTAATCCCCTATGAAATCAAATGAAAAACAATCACATACTTCCAACATATAATAATAGCAACAGGATATACTTGATCATTCCAAAAATAGGAAAGGGAACACAGTGAGGAAACACAGGACCAAAGCAAGACTGACAGACAGCTGGGCAAACTCCAAACCCTGCATCTCCATGTCAAAGCACTCTTCAGACCTCCAACTCCTTTCAGCTGTGTTGTCTGCAGCACACTTTTCTCCCGTGTGCTGGCCACACTCCCTGTGAGCAGCTCTCCTTAGCAGGCATCTCCTGACTCTGGCATCTCCCTGTGAGCAGCTCTCCTCAGCAGGCATCCCCTGACTCTGGCATCTCCGTGTGAGCAGCTCTCCTCAGCAGGTATCCCCTGACTCTGGCATCTACATTACCTTGGGTTCTCCAAGGCAATCAAGGTTCTCCTTCACTGGTTCACACAATGGCCTCCATTCAGGGACACCCCTGACACACGCATGACCTCAGTTGTAGGGGAAGATTCCATGACTGTTCCTCTATCCTTGACTCTAGAAGCATGTGGCCAAAGTTGCCAGGTTCTGCTGCTTGCTGGGGCTAGAACATGGTCCCCTTGTTCAAACACATCTTCACCAGCGTTGTGTTTTTGACAGTTTCCTTCGGTGCCTAAGCTTGGCTGTCCTGAAACTTGCTCTGTAGACCATGCTAGTCTCAAATTCAGAGATCCACATGTCTTTGCCTTCCAAGTGCAGGGATTAAAGGGGCACACCACCACATCTGGCTGTAAGCTTTTCTTTAATTCTTTTCCACAAGTTGGAAACTTAGCTGGTTGGGATCTTGTTCAGAGGTCACCACTCCTTTATTCCATTTCCCAGTGTTTGTTTCCTTGAACATAGGACTTAGTGCCATTGCACATCCTGGTGTTCCTCTTCTCCTCAAATAGCACCTTTTCTACTTTTCCTTCCTCAGCTTGCTTCTTTTCATTATAAATCTTCAATAAAGTTAACACTAATAACCGTACAACAGATTCTATACTAGGCTGTTTTCAGATTTCCTCTGCCAATGGCGTAAACTCAAAACTTGTCACATTAGCCTCAGGCTGACTCTTCAGACAAGGGCAAAAAGCAGCCATATTCTTCTTCAAAATATCATAAGAACGATCTCTAAGCCACATATTTATTAATATTCTTCTCCTTTGAAACCTCTTAAGCCAGGCCCCCACAGTTCAAATAACTCTTAGCACCACTGTCTTCCGTGTTCCTACTGGTATGGCCCAGTAAGCAGTGCCTAAAGCATTCCACTGTTTTCCTTACCCAAATCCCCAGAGTCCACAGTCCTCCAAACAAAACATGGTCAGGCCTATTACAACAATACTCCAATTCGTGGTACCAACATCTGTCTCTAGGGTTTCTATTGCTGCGAAGAGACATCATAACCACGGCAACTCTTATAAAGGAAAATATTTAACTGGGTGGCTTACAATTCAGAGGTTTAGTCTGTTATCATGGCAGAACATGGCAGGGTGCAGGCAGACATGGTGCTGGAGAAGGAATTCAGACTCCTCCATCTTGATGAGAATGCAGTAGGAAGTGAATTGAGACACTGGTCATGATTTGAGTACAGGAGACCTATGTCACCCCTACAGTGACACACTTCCTGCAACAAGGCCACAACTCCTAATAGTGCCACTCCCTATAAGCTTATGGGGACCAATTACATTCAACTACCACAGGAATCTATGCAGAAGATGAAGTGGAAAGGCCAGAGGAAGCAGTGTTATGTAGACCAAACAGGGCTAATACACCTATGAACTCAGAGACTGTGACAGTATGCACAGACCTGTACAAGTTCATGCCACATAAAACTCTAGCACAAAGAAGTATACGTCAGTGTGTATGCAAAGTCCCACTACTAATGAGGAGGTAATTAGCAATGGATACCTGCTGGTAAAATGAAAATCAGCTTTTCCCAATGCAGTATCACCGGGTAGACAAGCACACTTCAGGGCAGAGGAGTTGACTAACACTTTTGTTCCCAAAATATACATGTAAAACTCCAAGAGGATGGTTTTCTTTTGTGTGTATGTGCGTGCATGCGCATGCACTTTTTGTTTGTTTGTTTTATTTTGCTGTCTTGCTTTTTGTTTTGGGACCTTTTGGTGTTTTGAGAAAGAATGAAGGAACATGAAGTTGGGTAGGGAGGATATGGGAAGATTTGGGGGAGGGGAAAGAATATGATCAAAATAAATTACACAAAAAGTTTAAAAATGTAATTTAAAAATATAATAAGGAAGGAAGGAAGGAGTACAAACCAGTGAGCAAACAAAAAAATCATTTCAGGTGACTACATACCTTTATACTATTCAAATTTTTATAAACTTAACACTATGTAGTTAAAAATTAACCCACTGTTATGAATTAAATATAACAATACATTTTCTCTAAAACATTATTATTTTTACTCTACATCCTTACCTATATGATGGAGGAGGGTTATCTGTCTATTGTGTTATTTTTATTGGTCAATAAAGAGACTGCCTGGGCCCCTTGATAGGACAGAAAATTAGGTAGGCGGAGTAAACAGAATAGAATGCTGGCCTAGAAGAGGCCTAGAATAGAAGAGGCCTATGAGGCAGATGCCATGGAGCCAGCCACCAGGTCAGACATGCTGAATCTTTTCCGGTAAGCCACTACCTCATGGTGCTACCACGAGATTATTAGAAATGGGTTAATATCAAGATATGAGAGTTAGTCAGTAACTAACTCTCTAGAGATAATGGGCCAGGCAGTGTTTAAATGAATATAACTTGTGTGTTATTATTTCTGGGGCTAAGCTAGCTGTGCGGGAGCCGGGCAGGATGAAAAGCAGGCCTGCCCGCAGCCCCTCATTACACCTATAGCCACACATTCAGTTCATAAATATTTAGGAACCAGATTGTAATTTCATGAATGAACTAAAAACTTCTGTATTTCATCCCCAGAAACATGCATACCAGATAGTACTACATTTCTTTCAAGACCCCAAACCAAGGATGACTTTTCCTAACATGTGTTGGGAAAGAAAATTACAGCAGGTGTCAAGCAATAGATTCCATGATGAAATTTTATATTTTGCTAAATAAAACTTAGAAACTTTAGCATTCTTAGTATGTTGGGGGATATTAAACATTTTCATTTCCCAACTTAGCTGACAAGAAAATATAATTTATTCTGTTTCCCTCAACATGGTGTAGATTCAAACATCAAAAGGACTAGAAACACAGCTCAGCCAGTTAAGTGCTTGCTTTGTAAACATGAGACTTTGACTTGGGGCCCCAGAATGCACATGTCAAAAGCTATGAACAGTGGCATGTGTCCTTGTATTTACAGCCAGTAAAGCAGAGCAGGTGAGTCCACTGCCAACTAGCCTGGGACTAGTGAGAAACACTATCTTAAAACACAAGGTGTCCTCTGCATGAACCTGAACACACACACACACACACACACACACACACAAACACAAACAGGAGGGATAAATTATTATAAATTATTAAAAAGATAAGAGAATTATATTAGTAATAATTTGGAAAGACAAGGTATTAAAAAGAACAGTGAAAGAAAAAGAGAATCCTAAGAGAACTGCTGAGTTCCACAAATAACAACCCTAGGAGAAAAGGAAAAGCTAAATGCGCCTGTTCTCATGAGTGAGAGACGAGAGGGCTGAGACACCTGCCACAGAGAGCTGCAGGCGTCTGTAAGCAGCGTGGACTGACCGGGAGCTACAGAACTGACTTTCCTGAACAGGGAGAAGGAACAGGCAGGATGATTTCTCCTGTAACGAGCTAAATCATATATAGAAAAAAGAAAAAGACAAACAAACCACTTCTACTTTTCTTTAAGTAGTAGTTTTCACACTACTACCCAGGAGCCAAAGCTGAATCTCTACCCCTATTTGTATAGTCTGAGCGTTAAGCATGACTTTTTATTTCAAAAGGTAGAGAACCAAAAGAATATTTAAAGAACAATTCTTACTACTCACGCTTCAGTGTCCCTACGTATCTTAGAGTCCAGCGTACTCATTCCCTCATATACTACCCCCGCTGTCTGCCACAGCAGCACAGGGAAGAGCTGTGGCACTGACTATGATCACTGTCGGGGCCTTTAAAGCAGTTTCCCTACTCCTAAAGTATAGCTACTGTGTTCCTACAGAGATAGAAATTAATGCTGGGAAAAATAAGTGAAGATATGTATTAATAGACTGTATCTGAAATGTAAATTGGCAGTGAGGTTTTTTTTGCAGTGATGAACTTCAGTTAATTTAGTCCTAAGTAAATCAGGAAGAGTGGTGAGAAAATGTCAACACTGAAAAACAAAACAAACAAACAAACCAAAGAACAACAAGCAAACTCTCTTAGCTACCAAAGTGGAGAGTAACAGAGAGGAACACCATTAGATATATCACTTAAACTAAGCAAAATCAAAGACCAGGCCCACACCATTAAGGAACCTGATTAATACACAAGAAACTACCTTTTAATGTCATGGTAGGGTTCCGACATATGTGGATGAGAAAGTTTCTGTAAAAAGTTTTAGGGAAGAGAAGTAAAAGACTAGGTTGAACAAAATACAGGCATCCACTCCATCTTCCTGTATTTATATTTAAATATATTTATATTCGAATAAAATTTACTATTAGATAGCTATTTCCTATAAACAAAAATTCAAAGGCCATCCCAAGGTTGTATAAAGCAAACAGCAGATGCTCCCACATGTTGCGTAGACTGCAGGGAGACAGTTTTGTGAGTTTGTTACCAATGTGGGGGTGAACAGTTTCACAGCTGCCTTTGTACCACCCAGGCTCCTGTGAGTAACATTATTTCCGCTCTTATACGTAGCCCAGGGAACTCAACGGCTCAGTAAGTAAGCTATATATACACGGTGGTTACTTTGGTCTTTGTCAATGCTACATCTGCTGTGGATGAGGTGTAAGCGTGTCTTACGACAGCTATTTGCATCTATGCTCGCATATATCAACTTTAAGTATAAACTTTCAGCTGTTTTAAAATTATATATATTAGGTGCTCTGGAATAATCCTCTTGTACACTGGAAATATTTGTCACTCAAATTGGTTTAATAAAATGATGATTGGCCAGTAATCAGGCAGAAAGTACAGACAGGGTGACCAAACTAAGGATGATGGGAAAAAAGGAAGAGTCTGAGGAGTTGCCACTCAGATGCAGAGGGAGTGGGAGATGAACATGCCATGTTAATAAAGGTTCCACCATGTGGCAGTGTAAACAGGGCGTATGAGTTAACTTAAAGGTGAGAGCTAGTTAGTAACAAGCCTGAGCTACTGGCCTAGCACTTATAATTGTTATTCAGCCTCTGTGTGGTAACTAGGAAGCGGTGGCTGGGCATCTGGGAACTGGCAGGCGGGACAAGAAACTACTGTTTACAATTTAAGGCCTCGAAAATTCATGGAATTCTTTTAAACAAACTGCATAGTTGGTTGTAGAAGTATATCATAGCCTTTTTTTTTATACCATAGCCTTTTTAGAAGCATAGTTCATTATATTGCTCAAGAAGCAAGCAGTAAATCTTCCATTTCAAGCCCACAGAAGTGAAGGTTAACTAGTGAGGTTTGGAATCTTGTTTACTTTACCTTCATTTTTCTTACTGACAGTGACCCACTCCAAAGAAACATAGAAACCACTTCCTTTCATGTCCAATTCCTCCTTCTCTATTCGAAGAAGAAGCATAGCTATTGAATGTTCTTCAGCTTTCAGCAATGAGATACTGTGAATTATAATAAATGGATTCCCAAGTTCTTCATTAAACATAATCTGTAGGGAAAAAGTTACACATATTTTAAATGCAAAGTTAATAAAAGAGAAATATGATCAGCACTCTTGACAAAAGAAAAAAAAAAAGACCAAATAACAGGACATTTGAAAGGAATGGACAGAAGGAAAAGAAATAAAGCAATGTTGGGAAAGGAGGTGCTTCACAAAGCACACAGCACAGTCAGTAAGTGGCTTGTTTGCATACACCTTCTGGATTCTGCATAAGTCTTTACAAAGAACAAAAACAACTCACTTCCCATTTTTCAGGATTATTTCCACGGTCACCTGTTCCGATGACATATAATCTTCCAGTTCCATCCGACAAGGTAACCCAGGTAGGGGATGTAAAATGCACAGATGCACAAAGACGATTGTCACATGCTGTCAGATCTGTAGGAAGTCGAAACACCTCTCGAGGTTTTCCTAAGGCAGTGTCCTGAAAGGAAACGAAGGATTATAAACAAATCCCTTCCTCTTCCTGATCTGTACCCATGCAAAATACCTACAGTACAGCTGATTCTTCCATATTCGAAAGTTGTGTCAATTTCCCTTAAAGTATGAACTTTACTGATTTTAACAAATAAGAACAGTAGATGGGACAGGTGGAACACAACCTCTAGGAGATGACAAAACAACTTACATCATCTTAGGTTACATGCTGCAAGGGGACTAGTCGGAAGCTGTGGTGATGCTCAGACAGGGGAGTAAAGACCCACGCAGGGAGGAACCCAACAATCACAGAACCCTGTTGAAATTCCACTCCTTTGCTGTCATCCAGCAGGGAGACTGCAACTTTGTGATTCCTGACAGAGACTGAGATGATCACTGCTTACTTTCCAAGTGACTGGGTATTGCAGCTGTTATGTCAAAGAGGCTAGTACGGCGTAGTAATCTCATTTCTTTCTCTTAGCTTTAGGGCTAATGATCAGTAGTGTTAATTTTCTAACTAGAAATACCACATTGTATTTCAAATGCCTATATGGATGATATTCTACACCAGTGATTTCCAGCCTTCGTGTCGCTGCGACCTTTACATACAGTTAATCACGTGGTGCTGACCCAACCATAAAATAATTTTGTTGCTACTTCATAGCTATAATTTTACTGCTGTTATGAATTGCAATGTAAGTATCTGTGGGTTTTTTTTTTTAAATGGTCTTAGGCGACCCCTGCGAAAGGGCTGACTTCCAAATGGGTCGTGACCCACAGATTGAGAACCACTCTTCTACAGAAAAAAAAAAAAAAGGATTATTAAACAAAAGTGAACTCCCTCAAAAATCCTGAAAAACAAATAAATGTGCCTTTAATTCCAGAACTCGGAAGGCAGAAGCAGGTGGATCTCTATGAGTGAGGTCAGCCTGGTATACAGAGCAAGTTCCAGGACAGACAGGGCTATACAGGGAAGCCCTGTCTGAAGGCAAGGTAAAGGATTACATTTAGATAATGCAAACTTACATTTCCGTTAACAAATTTTCAGTTGTTATCCGCCTTTACAATATAGACTATGATAAGAAGAATCACCAAAACGATTCATGAAAACATATATTCAAAATTGACCATTTAGGAAATAAATGCACATATATCATTATATTTTCTATATTCAATAGCACATTTTAAAAATGTTTAATTGTCAGAGTTCCCTACAGAGGAAAGTGATCCTTGATTAATGCATTTTATTCTTGTGATTCTATAATTGTTTTAATCTATACTTTTTTAACTACGAGGTTTTGAAACAGCAACCACTTAGCCGTCCATGAAATGATCTTTCTTTTTTGCTCACAATGTTATACTTGGTAATGTCGAATTAAAGAAGAAATATAAAATAGCAAGCATAGCAAACAACAACTGCTTTTAGAAACATCAAATCTGAACACTGGCAATGTATTATATCAGTACTGAGATGCATTACACACAGTGCAGTAGAGACACCATCAGTGAGCATGTGGCTCACTGCAGTCTCCAGTCCCGATGTTCAACAGAGGAAACAGAACAGGATCAGTGAATCCAATCAGTTAGATGGAGGTCAGTTAACAGAAACTGTGCCGTAGGCTGATGCCCATGCCTGCATTTAGGACACTACATGGTACTTCCACTAAATGAAAGCAGACAGACTCATCAACAAACGATACTGCTATGCTAGCATACTTCTGGGGAACCTCATCTCTGACAAACACAGGAATATTACATATTTCAGCAGGACTATTAATCTGAAGGCTTTAGAGGAAAAGTTAAAAGACGGATAGAGGACAGTTTAATAATTACAGGGTAGTCAGTCGACGAGTGTCCATACAGAAGAGCGACATAGAGGACACAAAGACAGCACACACAGAGCTAATATCCAGATAAACATCGACTTGTTCTTGAAACCTCAAGAGCCCCTAAAGCCTGTTAAAAAATGTCTTTTAAAGGTAAAGTAATATTCTACCATTAACAAAAAGAAAAAAAAATTAGGCTTGCAATGCCTATCCTTGGCTAGGTGCCCTATTGGCAGAAGAAATATGTATAGGCTTATAAAAAATGGTGAAAAGGTCAAATTTAACGATATAATTATACCCTTTGATATAATCCAGCCTACAGGAATTTATATAGTATTTCTATTAATATAAAGTTCAAGAATAAAGAAAAAGAAAATTTAAGCCAGTAAAAACTGGGATGTAATGTAACAGCAGCTCCTGATGCAGTGGAGCTGACTTTGCAGCCTCCTGCAGGTCTTGGTTTGGCTACAAACATCCAATAATTACAGCATTCTTCTACTGAACATAAATGTCAAACACTACGACTACAACGAATAAGACAAAACAGCGTCACTCCATGAGAATTTCCACACACAGAACACATCACTACAAACAGAATCTAAAGCACACGGTAGGAGCCACTGTGTCCTCCTGACTATCACAGGCAGAGCTCCAGTGCAGTCTTCTTTCCTAGGTGAGACTTGACAGCCCAGCACCCGCTTCCTGAAACCCTGCCACTCCAAATCACCTCACTAGTCAGATCCCTTACAATCACCAATGCTAAATCCTCCCAGACACACTATGGCTCTCCTTCACTTATGTTCTTCCCTGCAAGAAGTAATAAATCCAACTTGTTCAAACAGTGTGACTGTTCTGTCATCTAGAAAGTGCTGGCAAAGAAATAGAACAGCCACTCTAAGGAAACCCAAATACCAGATACATGTACTCAGATAGATTTGTATTGCTAACAAAAAATAATAAACTCAATGAGATACTGATAAAGAAAAAGACAGAATGATATAATGTGTTTACCATTCAACATGAATTTATACATGCACAAAGAGGCATCAGCTCACAGCAAATGACAGACAGACACGGAACAGTGCTTAGCATCAGGAAGAGAAATAAGACTGGAGTGTGGCTGGGCAGGGAGATTGGTGGCAAAGGCAAATTTTCCTCCTTTCCTTTAAATAGGCTGTGATTCTTGTTCCATACCAAATAATTTGTGTAGCATACATAATTTTAAAAATATAAATAAAGAGATAAGATAATAAAGGTAGAATAGACTTCCACAAAACAGGTGTTGACTACATGGTCCGTCAGACTTACTCTGGTGAACCATCATTAATTAAGAGGGAAGGCTAAACTAGGCAATCGCTGTTCAAGTGTTTTAGACCATTTTCTTTTAAATACATGGCTACACATGACTGAAGTTAATAGAAATATAATTATCAGATAAATTGGTGCAATATCTAATAGAATTAAGACACTTGAGTATATAAATCTGAATCAAAATTAACTAACTTAAAACACACAGTGTCTGCCTCACTTGAGTTAAATGACAAAACAAAAACAACGCACATGTTCCCAATTCAGAGTTTAGTTCAGTTCTAAAATGTCCTCATAATAATGTCTTAGGAAAGCAACATCTCCAGCTCCAGGTCCACATATTATCCTTTACTCACAAACAAAGCAAAACAGTAACCATGTTAAAAATTACTAGAAAATCACTTGGGGTAATAATTCCCTGCTGATTTGCAGAACTGGAATTGTGTTGGCGAATTTCATACTCAATGAGGGACTACAGCATGAAGCACTTTCAACTTTGGCAATCTCATTTAAACATCACCAAACTGATGAAGCTGCAATCATTAAGCCCCGTTTAAGAGGGGTTCACATGGATCAATCTGACTGAAACTCCACGGCGACAGGGCTAAGATTCTAGTCCTACCGAGCCCTGTAGATGGTAACTCTCTCTTCCTTATTGTTATCATCTAGGAAAGAAACCATTTTTTCTAACAAACACTTCAAATCTCAATGCAATGTACAAATGCCATTCCCTAAGACATTCACTCTGCAATTAGCACATTAAGTTTTTCTTTAACCAGACATGATATTTTTGGCTATATTGGCTCCTATGCCATAAGCATAATAAGTCATAATGTTCATATATTATAGATGGATGACATTATAAAGGAAGAGTCAATAGCATTTATATTGCATATATTTATCTAAATTAGATTTTGGGGTCCTTGTAGTTTCAGCTAGAAACAGAAAAGCTTTGAATAAATGAAATATTTTGGTTTTGTTTTTTAATACTTACACTCCTATAGGGAAACTGGAGGTTAAAAACATGTTCAGTCAGAACTTGGGAAGGATGCCACCCAGCAGTGCTGTTACAATGGGATTAACATCAACTATTGTGAAACATCAACTTCATTTCTTAAGCTTTTTCCATTTCTATTCTTTCTTTTATTGTTTTTGTTGAACTATATACTTTTCTCTGCTCGTCTTCCTTCCTCCCCCATCCCTTTCTACTTTCTCCCATGATCCCCACAATTCCAATTTACTCAGGAGGTCTTTTCCTACGTCCCATGTATGTCCTCATGGTTGTCTAAATTGTCTGGGATTGTGAATTTTAGGCTGTTTTTTTCTTTGTTTTATGTCTAAAAGCCACTTGAGAGTGAGTACAATTTGTCTTTCTAGGTCTGAGTTACTTCACTCAATATGATGTTTTCTATATCTATCCATTTGCCTGTGAATTTCAAGATGTCATTATTTTTTTCTGCTGTGTAGTACTCCATTGTGTAAATGTACCACGTTTTCCTTACCCACTCTTCAGTCGAAGGGCATTTAGGTTGTTTCCAGGTTCTAGTTATGGCAAATAATGCTGCTATGAACATAGCTGAACACATATCCTTGTGGCATGATTGAGTATCCTTTGGGTATATACCCAAAAGTGGTATTGCTAAGTTTTGAGGAAGGTTGTTTCCTAATTTTCTGAGAAATCATCACACTGACATCCAAAGGGGCTGCATCACTTTGCACTCCCACCAGCAATGCAAGAGTGATCCCTTTACCCCACATCCTCTCCAGCATAAGTTGTCATCAGTGTTTTTGGTCCTGGCCACTCTGACAGATGTTAAGAGTGAATCTCAGAGTTGTTTTGATTTGCATTTTTCTGACAGCTAAGGATGTTGAG